AACAATACTATCAATAAAAGCTTTTAATGTCTCTCTTCCTAACGCTGAGTACTTATTTGCGCATCTTTCATTTGGTCTAATGAATTATTACGGTTTGCTATGATTTTCCCGTGATTTATTTATATTGTTTACACTCATAAGGTATATGATAACTTTTGAGCAAATATGAATTATAATAGTTTGAGCAAATTATAATATCCCGGGGTTTGGACCAGAATTCTTAATTCCTCCAAAAGTAATTAACCAATCAAAACTAATGACTTTAGGGATTTTTTCACTATTTGAAACTTTATTTTCTTTAATGTCCATGTTTAGCTAATTACCTGGCATAAACAAGTTTTGTTTACAAAATATATACAATTCACCTTAAAAGGCTCTCAAATCCATTATTTGTACCTTCAATCAAGGAATTTAGTTACACCTTTTTTTTTTCTCTTCTTCTCTTTCCTTATTTTTCTCCGATCATCGGCAGCGCTCGTCAATTGGTATGCCCTTTGTTTTTAAATTTCTCCATTCTCGTAGCCTTCGTTCTACCAGCATCATTACATGTTTGATCGCAAAATTGGAAAGTGAAGCTGCTTTAGTTACTAATAAGTTTCTATATTCATCCAATATTACGATTGCACACATGCTTCCATATATACACACTTCTAATCATTTAAAAACAGAGAGATATATGCACACTTATAATTTTTACTAAAGAAAAATAAACTTATCAACACCACAACATGTCCTCTCTTTTGATATTTACAGTCAAATATGCTGAATTCAACTCAAAAATATTCGATATTGATCACAATTCTTCTCAGCAATAAGCAATTAAAAAGGCGAGAGAGAGAGTGCTTACGCCAATCGGAGGATAATAGGAGCACAATTCTTCTCAGCTATGAGTCCTCCAAGCTTTCTCTTACATTTCTCTACTGCTTTTTGATACTCTTCGCTCACTATCGGACAACACTTCCTCATTATTCCCGATCACATAAGATTTCCCAACTACAAATACCAAAAAACAGTAATAATAAATCAGCTTAAGCTCAATCAAATTCCTCATTTGTACAATAAAGTGGAGTACCTTAACGAGCAAACTGGAATCAAAGAAGGGATCCTTTTCTCTGGTGGGAGTGTCTTTTATACAATAAGTATTTTATATATTTTGTATCTGATTTATACATAGTAAAAATAAATTTTATACAACTAATTACATATTATATAATTTATCTACAACTTTCACACATTATTTCTACACAGTTAAATACAACTACAATTACATATAACTTAAATATAAATTTTATACAATATGTCCTTTGTATATTTTGTATCTGATTTTTACATACTAAAAATAAATTTCATATAACTAATTATATATTATATAACTTATCTACAACTTATATACAATTCTCATACATTATTTCTACTTAGTTATATACAACTACAATATCATACAACTTAAATATAATTTTAATACAATGTTGTTCAACTTTCATACAATAGTTAAATAAATAAATAAAATATATATAAACAACAGAATACAATTTTTCTACAATTTTACTATAATTTCGTAAATATAATGTATATCATGTCTCCTTCTTCTTCGAGTTTCAATCTGAAATTCAGCCAAAACTAAGTCTAATCTTCACCAAAACCCCTCAAACTTGAGATATAAACTCCAAACCATATTCCAAATTGTTTGCAACAACACCCAATCCAAACAAATAATGATTTTTGAAAACCCAAATTCGAATTCAAAGCTCAAAGCTTTTTAATGGCTGTCAATGGTGGAATTGCTGCTCTCTTTTCCCTTGCTTTACATTACTGAAATTAGGGACTGAGAGATAGAGAGAGACGTAGAGAGAATTCCTAATTCTTTGCAACAACATCCAAGTCAAACAAATAATGTTTTTTGAAAACCCAAATTCGAATTCAAAGTTTCAAAGCTTTTTAATGGTTGTCAATGGTGGAATCATGGGTGGGTGCAAGATACGCGAGGAGAGGGGTGGGATGTGGAGAGAGAAACGTGGGGGAGTGGAAGATATGTTAGAGTAATTTTAGGACACTAATTATTATCATTAATTCCCTTAAAATGTACATAAATGGTAATTGGGTATATAAAATATAATTATAGTAAAACTTGAATAGAGAGGGTAGGAATGTAAAAATTCCATGACTTTATTGTCACAACCAGAGTTATGAGCCTTCAAAATATTGAGAGGGCGAGCTTGAGAAGCAAAAAAAGTAGCAAAATGAAGCTCATTAATCTATTCAACCTAGCCATTTATTTAGGAAGAAAGAGATGGAAGCTGATGTTTGAACTAAGATATTTGAATTTGATAGTTCAATATGGAGGTTCATGTTATTTGCTGATCTATGCAAATATATTGTACTAGTACTTTCTCACAATTTCAAGAAGAATAAGGGGTTCGATGTAAGAAAGTCAAATATTCTAATTTCAGTCTACATTCATACATCAATATTTTATTCTTTTCAAAATAAAATTTGCATAATTAGAAATTAGATAAAAAAAAAATACTATATATTACAATTATTTATAATAAAAGAGTATTTAAAGAATGTATGAAAATTTTGTAGTCAAAGAAAAAAGTTATTGACTCCTCAAATACTAATAGTGTCATACAAAATGAAACGGAGGAAGTACCGGCTAATTTATAAATTTCTTTTTGTTTAACGATGGTTAATATTTGACCAGGCAAAGGGCTGATGAAGCAAAATGCACTCATTCAAAGCAATATGAGTCAATAATGTTAGGATTAATTGATTTGTCAAATTTTAGGAACTAGCCACGAGTTTCTTGATTTTGAAAAGAAGATAAAAAGAGGTAATTGAATCTAGCGTGGAAATTTTGATGGAATTGAAGCAGCTGCTGACCGTCAGCATTTCTTTGGGGGAAAAAGATTTTAGTGTTTATTCTACAACATGATTATGTGTCAAAATGATAATGGCAAAGATAGTAAGCAAAGAACAATTAATCCAACGTAAAAATATAAAAAAATTAAAAATATTAATTGTTAAGATCAACTGAACAAGTTAAAGAAGCTGATTTCAAGCTAAGGCTTCGTTTGTTTGCACTTAATGAAGGTCTGAATCTTAATTATTCAGATCTCAGACATTAAATGCGTTTGTTTTTAAAGTCTGAATCTTGATTATTCAGACCTTAATCATTAAGTGTGTTTGTTTTGTTTACTTCACAACCACTTAATGGGTTTGAATAGGTTTGTATGATTAAGATCTATAACAGAGACTTAATTTCATTAAGATGCTATCACATATTCATTATTAATTGCCGCCACCGCCTACCATTATAACTACCACCATGCCACCACCACCACCACCACCATACTCAACCCCCACCCCCACCCCCACCATCACCACCTCCACCACCACCACGCCACCATCATCCTCAATCATAGTCGCCACCATTATCAACCATCACCACCTACTATCCCCGCCACCCCGACCACCATCATTCTCACCCACAATCAACACTCATTCACCTCATCTACCACAACTAACCACCCCATCACCATCAACAACCACAACGGGCACTGCCCATCATTATAACCTACCACTACCCACCCACCACCTTGCTCAGTCACAACTACTACCACCACCCGCCATTATTAACTATAACCACCCACCACCACCATCCTCAATCATAATCGCCACCACTACCAATTCACTACTAGCTGCTAGCATGAACCACCATCATCTTCCAAAACTACCACCAACCACTGCCTCTAGTCGGCATTCACCCGTTAGCCATCACCACCAACAACTATCATATTTTAAAAAATTATATATTTTAATGATAGAATATTACATTAATTAGTATTTCATTTGAATTTTATGTTTATTAATTTTCAAATAAAAGATAAATTTTATACATTCAGATGTTAAAAATCAAACAGTCTCAATTATTTCTATTCGGATCTTAATACACATCTTAATATATTCAGATGTGTATTCAGATTCAGATGTCTTAATCGTAATACACATCTTGATATTCAAATGTGCATTCAGATTCAGACGTCTTAATCTTAAAAAAAACAAATGAGGCCTAAGTTATATTAAGGCAGAATAGCCTCGTAGACACTTATAATTGTTCACATTTGTCATCCCGATCCATATACTCAATGAAGTTTCATTCAAATCGCCTATGCCAAAATGGAATGGGATGAAATAGAAAGAATGCGAAGTGCTAGCGCTATGGGGTCGGGTTTTTGGGGGTGTAGGCTTGTGAAGAAGCAAGCTTATCCCCGCCCCGACTGCCAACGGCTAGGTTTCCCCATCTCTTCTAAACTTCCCCCGGTCTTCGGCCCGCGCTGTATGAGGCAAAAACACACTTATAGTTGTTCAAAGTCAGTATTTTAAATCTCTTTGACCATTTGTCCAAGTCTATGTGACAATTTAATTGCTGAACTGAACAAAATACGTGTATTTCACGCGTATAAGGAGCGTGAACATAAAAATTTAAACCAAAATAATTAAAATAAGGAAAAAAGAAAAAAAAAGAGAAAAATACAATCAAATTAGAAAAAAGAAAGAAAAGGCTAAAGATTGCTTTTTCTCTTCGAAAAAGGGCCAAAAATGTCCCTATACTATCTAAAATAAGTCATATCTGCCCCCCGTTATACTATTTATTTAAAAAAGTCCTTACCGTTTGTGCCCAGAAATTAAAATGTCCCTCCACCGTCTATTCTCCCATTTAAAATTAAAATATCCACTTGGCAGCCTTTGATTGGACGACTTAATGGGACCCCCTATTTTTTAATTAACCCCATGACCCGGTTCATTTTATCTGTATAACCCACCCGTAAATCACTTAAAGAAGACCCCCAAAACAGATCGGTCCTTATTCAAGAACAAAAGCTAGGGTTCTTCAAGAAAGCATACTCTTAGTAGAGGGCTATATACTCCAATTTCTTTCATTATCAGTTATTTGATCCAAACCACGCTGTAAATATTGTCCAAAAAGGTGGTTTGGCATGTTGGAAAATAGTTATTCATCCAAAAGGAAGTGCCACTGTGGGGAATTTGCTAACCGCTTCACTTCGACTACTCTTTTTAACCCTGGACGGAGATTCTACAAGTGTCCAAAACCACAAGTTAGTGATTATTATTAAATTTTGTCATGTGTGAAATTTTTTATAGTTTAACGAATTATTTTCCTTATTTGTTTGAATTGTATTTTGATGTTATAGGATGCTTCATGTGGTTATTGGGAATGGTCAGATGATCCTATCCCTGATAGAGCGCTTGTCGTAATCAACAATTTAAGGTCTCAGTTGGATGCGGCAAATGTTAAAATCAGTAATTTGAAGTCGTCGTTGGACAATGTTAACATTGAAAGTGATAAATTGAAGGAGAAATTGATCGCTGTGAAGGCAAGAAACCATGTTCAAGTGACTAAATTAGAAGAGAACATCCTCAAGATGAAGATTTTCACTATTATTTTATGTACCCTTTTGGTTGGAATTGTAGCAGCTAGAGTAATGAATTGAATTGTAGTTGCTAGTGTATTGTTGGAAGTTTGTTGGAATTATGTAGGGTCATATTTCATATGAGTTCACTTTTATTTAGACTACTTCAAGTCTTGTAACATTGATGTCTCGTAGGAAGATGTTTTGTTGGAATTATGAAGTCTCTCTGATTGGTATTAGGAAGATGTTTTGCTGTATGAAAACCTTATGAGTAAATGTTATGTTTTGTTGGAATTATGAAGTCTCTCTAATGAAGCTTGTTCTTATGAGGTTTGAATGAAACTTGGTTAAGAGATGATAATTTTAATACATTTCTTTCGAGTTTGAGCACTTATGTTGCTTATTATCTGTATGAGGTTTGAATAAATCAAATGCCAAAAGTGTGTACTGATGGCTAATTACCACTCAGGTCAGCAGTTAGGTGAAGGTCACCTTGTTTCCAAGTTTCCTGAACATTAGCTTAGTTACTTTCCCTCATAAATCTATACTCAAATAATNCCTATTTAGTTCTATTACAATAGACTTCAGTTGTTTCCCTTCTTGGCTTCAGCTTATCAACTTTCTTTCTACTTTGCATCTCCAGCTGACTTCCAGTTACAGCATCCTTTCCTTTCCATTTGAGGCCTGGTGGTTTGAAAGGAAGAGATGATGGAAGACTAACACCATTTGTATCACCAGTGAATGAAATTACCCTTACACTTGAAGTGTGAGGTGGTTTTTGCCTTTGTAGAAGTCTTGTTTTAGATTCCGACACAGTTGTTGGCCTTGTAACTACATCTGGATCAAGTTCAGGTTGCTCCCACTCAGGGAATGGACTGTTTGATTGACTGTGCACTGATGGTGTAGGCATGAACACAAAATTTGAGCCTTGAACACTCGACTGACTTGCTTGACTAGATTGGGGTACTGTTAGGTGTATCTCTTCTTCTGATTGTTGCCCCACACTTTCATCTTCATCAACTAGATTTCTAGCATTTTGCCTTGCCCTTTTTGCCATTGGTGGCTATTGTTAACAAATAAAACCAGTTAGATAAAGTAAATGTTAGTATTGTTAAAAAGTAAAATAAGTTAGATATGGTGAGAGGTGTTACCTTCTCACAACCCCTTGCATTATGATTTGGCTCTCCACAGTTGGAGCAAGTCATTACTCTCCCTTTTCTTGAAGCTGCCCATTCACCTTGCCTTTTGATTGCCTCATCTTTTTGTCTTGTTCTCTTGATTTTAGGCCTCCCAGCCATCTTGACTAACTCAGGTGGTTCCATTGCTTGTGATGGATGTACCTTCCAGAATTTTTCACCCCTAACTGGCTGCAACTTGTACTTGTAGGTAAGCAGATATGCTTCTTTGCTGTACCATCAATTGATTTCATTAATAGGCTCCAACCTTTTTAATTGCAAGGATTTAATTGCATGTGGGCATGGGATTCCAGTAAGATCCCATCCCCCACATGTGCATTTTTTCAAAATCATATTTACAGTGTGCTTATCTGCCCCTTCCCTGACTTCATAGCCATTGTCACCGTCGCTGTCCACATAGCAAGAAGTGTTAGCTATCTTGAAGTATTCATTATAAAGCTTCAAACTATGTGGACTGAAATCATTTGCCCATGACCTCACAACTTCCTCCCTTTCCCTCAACTGATTCATCAACTTTATCCTTATCTCCTCAAGCATTTTAATGATTGGCTTTTGCCTTGCTTCAACCAGCCATGCATTCACTGACTCAGTGAAGTTATTCTCAACTTTTTGGTTCTTGCACACAGTATCAAAATAGGCTCTACACCAAGCCTGTGGAGGATACTTTAATAATGATTTAGCAGCTTCCTTACTCAGTTCCCCAATACTCTTCAACTGATCCTTGAAATCTTCCTCATAAGAGCTCCAGACACTCCACCATAGCAACTTCTTGAACTCATCTGTCCTCCATCTCTTGCACCAGTTTGCCTCTATGTGCTTCACACAAAATCTATGGTGTGAATCAGGTAGAACATTCTGGACTGCCTCAATTAATCCCTACAAAATGAAAGTGAATATTAGCAAACATGTAGGTAATTAACAACAAATTGAAATGAAAGAAATAAAGATATCTGGATAAAATTCATACCTTCTGCATATCTGACATAAAGGTAATTCCCTCACCATCTTTGAGATCCAATGACCTTTGAAGCAATTCCAAGAACCAGGTCCAAGTCCTTTTGGTTTCTTTATCAACAACTGCCCATGCTACTGGATAAGCCTGATTATTGGCATCTAGAGCTACATCAAGTAATAGCTGACCTTTTGCTTTTCCTTTAAAAAAAGTACCATGCCAATAAATGGTCTCAACCCTTCTCTAAAACCCATCTTCAATGCTTGGAAGCAAGTATACATTCTCAAGAATTTTCTTTTACCTTGTTCAAGGGCATCCTTTGACAAATTAATGACTATATCACTGCCCAGATTACTTATTCTAAGCTCATTGGCATATGCCTCAAGTTTATTGTAATCATCTGTGAAGCTACCATCCAGTTTCTCTAAAATCAGCCTCTTAGCCCTCTTGCACTTTCCATAAATAACATTAACATTGAATGTGTTTTTCAGTTCTACTCTCATCTCTTTTATCTTAAACTTTGGGTTATCTTGCACCTTCTTCTTGAAATAATTTGCTATTGTATAATAATCAACCCTAGAATTCTCAAATGCTTCATCACATGTATGTTTTGCTTTTAAGGTCTTTACCCTAACCCCAGGAAGGTCCCCATCTGGAGTAATATGAACAACAAAGGGGCAGTCAAATACACATCTATATCTTAGCCTTTCTGGAGAACTTTTCAACAACTTTAGTTCCTTTTTGTTTTGCTAAGGCATAGAAGTTGAGATATTTTCTTGCTTCAGGTATATCCTTAAAGCTCATACCCTTATACAGTTCCTTATAATTATCCAAACCTGGCATAATCTCTCTTTTCTTTTGATTAGCAAATGTTTGTAATTCATCACTATCATACTCTACCTCTCCAAAATTAGAATCAGATTCACTTTCAACATCACTACAATCAGTACCAACTTCATAATACAGTATAAGACTCAGAATGATGAACTATGTTAGTCACACTAATAGACTGCTCACACTCATCTACAGTATAGAAATGAAGAGTCTTGAATTCATCAGAGATTAGACACAACATATGTCTTATACCATCATCATCCTCAATCTCATAATAATTACCAGATGGACCATTCACAATTAATTGTTGAACACCTACATTTCCTAACTCATTAATGTATAAATCCACTAGATATTTGTAGGATAGAAGTTCAGAATCATAACCTCTCTTGATATGGGACAACTTCTTTGAATACAAGACATGTGGGCTTGTGATCCAGTCCCCATCATAATGCAAGATTAGGTCCACCAATGACATCCTTGCTATTCTGTAAAGGTAACAATAAAAAATACCTAAACAAATTAAAAAATACTATAAAGAATACGGGGACAAACAACAAAAATATAACATAAACAATACTAATAAAGAACAATAACTAAGCAATTAAACAAAACAGAATTATAAATCCTGTATGGATTTAAGGGAACACAAATAACATGTAACAACTAGGGGACCACAAATAATTCAAGTAGTAAAGGCCCACTAGTACTAAAATATTCACAGATTTCAGTTGTGAGGGAACAGAATTCGACACACCCAGCACAGACATATGCTAGACAAGCAAACGACTAAAAGGAATAAATGAAACCCCACATTACCATATCTCACCAACTTTAATGCTTACAAAATTCAGAAAATACTAACACAAAACACATGCAAAGACATTCCACACAAGAAAATAAGACAAAAAGGTCAGAAAATAACATCTTAAACCAAGACATAAGAAAACAAAACATATTAAAGCCCCAAAACGATTTGAGCATAAAACCCTAATAATAAACTAAGACAAATACACATAGAAGGGAGATAAACAAGTAACATTACGCAAAATCTACATACCTTTTCAGAAAATTAATTCTTTAATCGGCAACATCGACTAAGAGAAGGCTTTCTTGAAGAACCCTAACTTTTGGTCTCCTGGTTTGTTCTAGAATGAGGACCGATCTGTTTTGGGGGTCTTCTTTAAGTGATTTACGGGTGGGTTATACAGATAAAATGAACCAGGTCATGGGGTTAATTAAAAAATAGGGGGTCCCATTAAGTCGTCCAATCAAAGGTTGCCAAGTGGATATTTTAATTTTAAATGGAAGAATAGATGGTGGAGGGACATTTTAATTTATGGGCACAAACAGTAAGGATTTTTTTTAACAAATAGTATAACGGGGGCCAGATATGACTTATTTTAGATAGTATAGGGACATTTTTGGCCCTTTTCCGTTTTCTCTTTCACTTAACGTTCTGCTTGCTACCCCCCCCCCCCCCACACCCCCCACACACACACGCAAAATCCCATTTTTCTCTATCCATTTCTATTGAGGAGCGTTTATTAGGTGATGATGACCCAACTAAAGTGGGTGCCATTACATTTTAGATCTTGATAACCTTTGAATTGGAATAACTCTGGCCATTAAATTTAATGGATGTTAAGATTGTACTCACAATTTGTTCTTTTTGGTGTCTTGCTCTATGGAGACAATGAACAGAAAGTGGAAGGAAGCTAGAGATGTGATTTTTTTTTCTTTCTTAAGAGGATTTTGGAATTCTTCATTGATGACGTAGTCGTAGGGACTGATACAGAGTGGGTTTTTCGGCCGGTGATGTTGCTTGTTGTTCTATGTTCCTGGTCCGCTCGTTGTTTTGGTTTTGGGCGAGGAGACCGGCGGCCAATGGTTGAAGGGGGGAGGCGGAAGCAGAGGAAAAGAAGGCATAGAGGGTGGTGGTTGACTGCGTAAGAGGAAGAGAAGGAGAAGTAAAATAATAATTTATAAAAATAAATAATGACGTGGATTAATTTAGCTGAGGTGGATCTGATATGCTTCCATGTCAACTCGAGTGAGCAACACGCAGTGCCAGAAGTGTTTAAAACATATGCTTTGAT